AAAACAGCTGTTTTATGGTGTTTAATTAGTTTAATAAATTAAAATACATATTTTTCCAACATCAAGATTAAAGTTCATGAGCTTCCAGTCGTCAGTGAAAGCTAAAAATATGTAAATCATGCTGACAGGTCCAGTAGAAAAACAACTAATGTAATTTAATATAGCATAGGAAAATCCTCACATCAAGTTTAAGGTAATCTTGAAAATAGACTGATCAATTATTGCAGCACTTTGGTTACTTTCAATAGATAACAAGAATACTAACCTTCAAACAAACAAACATATCTACAACTTAGGAGCATGAAATTCTCAGATATTCATCAATTCTGGTTAAAGTCTAACATTATCATTTCCTGTTTAACATTATTAAATATAACCTCATAGCTAATAACTTACCCCATCCCGGAGAAGATAATGCTCCAAGGTTCTACCAGACTCCAGCCACACTCCTTTTTTTGGATCTTCATCAGGTAAGAAAAGCCCATAATCTTTTGCTGCAAAAATATAGTGAAATGTAAAAAGACAACCCTACAGTAAACAATTCAACTTATCTTCAATAAATACAAACATGCAAACGTTTCTGTAGTTTATAAAGTTTTGAGTTTAAAGAACATTATGCCAAGCCTGTACTTACTAATTATGTTATCCCCAACCTAAAAAAAATGTAAGCAACTTAACTGATACTCACATTTGTTACTAACCTACTGAAAGACCTGTAACAGGTGATTAATTGTAAACTGAAAAACCTTTGACCAGTAATTTACTGTATTGTGAACATTGCAGAATATTTCCACAATTTTTCCAAGCATTAATCGAGAAAATACTCAAGTAGTTGATTAGAATATTTTCATTAACTTAGTTTAACAGTTCCGACTGTTTAACTATTACAAACTGAATGAACAAAATGGTTATATAAACATACAAAATAATGAGTAAACTTCAATATCATACAAGTCAAAGGGACCTAATAAGAGGGGTGGCAAAAAAGGGGCATGTGCCACCCACATTGAATAGTTTTTAGCAAAACATTTTCTTGCTTTATTTGCTTGTTAGTTCTTCCTTACACTTTCCACTCTCCACAGTTTTAACAAAGTTAGATGCATGTGATTTGAGTAACTAATAAAAGTGTTAAATACAACACAGTAACTTTTCCTAATTATTTTAGAGAAAATAATTTAAAAGCATGGTAAACTGAAAGTTAGGTACGAGTGCTGCAGTTATTAGACAACTTTCAAACTTAATAAACAAATACTGCTTAGTTTTATAGAAATGAAGTACCCCAACCCTTCTCCGTCATTCTTTTGGGAACTTAAAACAGTTTTAACTAAAATTTGATTATGAATTGGTTGTGTAAGGGTGTGTATGTATATACATATATACACAGAATGCTTTCCTGTTATTTTTATACTTGAGATATATATATAAACATATATACACACAGAATACTTTTCTGTTACTTTTATACTTGAGATATATATATATATATATACAAACAATATTACTTTCAGTTACTCAGACAAGCTGATTTTCTTTGAAACACAAATACATTATAGTTTAGTACTCCTACTTTATACAGTATCAACACTGATGATAAGTTAATGATAATAAAATCAGATAATAGTTGACACTATAGTATTCTATTTTTTATCAAAAACAAACCATATTTGATACTTCAACTTACATTCTCCTTGGTTGGCCTCAGAAATTTTTTCTCTTATGTTTCTACACGCATCATAAACTAGCATAGAAGGCTTAAACTTCATTGTTTTTATCACATTTTTCTCGAAAACACTTATTTTTAGAGAAAGATTTGCCATCTTCAGGGTTTCTTGTTAACTTCTTCTCCACCTGTTAAACCAAATTAGCATTAAATGTTAGTCTTCTTATCTAGAAACACACACTAAAAACATGTTTCTAGCATCACTTGAACAAAACTTCCAACTAATGCAAACTTAAAAATCAAGCTGTTCTATTTGATGTATCTTTAATTGTCAACTTCAGTTAAAAATAGTTATAGAGTTAAACAGTTATAGGATAAGTTTAACAACCTTCAACCAACATTGCACACGCAAAATTGAAAATCAAACTGTTCAATTATATGTATCTAACTGTTAACTTCAGTCAACAATAGAAACAGATTTATAGGATAATTTCAATAAAATAACACTGCTAATGTAATGTTGAAATTCAAGCTGTTCTCTTATATATGTATCTTTGACTGCTAACTTTAGTTAAAAATAAAAACAATTATAGGATAGTATCACTAAAATAACACTGATAATGCAAAGTTGAAAATCAAGCTGTTCCATTATATGTATCTATAACTGCTAACTTCAGTTAAACTAGAAACACATTTACAGGATAATTTCAATAAAATAACACTGCTAATGCAAAACTGAGAATCAAACTGTTCCATTAAGTGATTTTTCAACAGTCAACCTACAGATGTAAATATAAAACAAAAGTTAAATTGCCAGCTTTGAATTAGTTCCCTAGTCAGTTGCACACTGAGTGGAGCTGAGCAATTTACTCAATTACCCATGAGCATCACTTATATTGATTTGTAACAATTAAATAATCAATTAATCAAAATTACAATTTAATCAGTTAATGTCAGTAAACAAGTCAACTAATCAAAGTTAATGTTTCCAATTATTATTATTTTAGATTATCCCAAATCTCATGTGAGAATAATTGATTAATTGAACATAATCAATTAATGAGCCTAATGATTAATCAATTAGCAAATTCTACTAATTGCTTAGCATGTACAACTTTCATTAGTATTTATTATCTGAATAAGTGTTGTCATATAGTTCTACCATATTTAAACTAAGTCCTTCACAGAAAAAACTGGTAAACAACACTAAACATGCAAACACTACATAAGAACCTGATAAACTACATCAAGCATGCATACACTACATAAGAACCTGATAAACTACATCAAGCATGCATACACTACATAAGAACCTGATAAGCATGCATACACTACATAAGAACCTGATAAGCATTACATCAAGCATGTAAGCACTAAATACAAAGATAGTAAACATTATTAAATATGTAAACACGACTCGCATTTCACAGAAACAGACTGCTGAAAACTTAGTTAATTACAATATAACACTCAAATATTATATAATCCTGACTTGTGAAATAAATCAAGTGCTTTAAAAAAAGCATTTTCTGAATGACTGTTTAAAAACTGTATAAATCAGAGAAACAGGTTATATATGCAATATAATGTCAATGTATACTTTGTAGCATAGAATTAAACATGGAAAAAGTGCCACTATGTATAACAAACAAAATGTCTACAAATTTTAAACTAATATCTTAACTTTTGATTTTTGAGCTTTTCATGGTTTAGCAAGGTTCAATTCTTATTTTAGTTGATTAATGATGTACATTTTAAAGTTTCGTATATCCTAAAATAACCTATTTTTAATTCCTGGAAACAAAAGCATTTGTCCTAATCGTCTTTTATGGAGTATATTGATCAACAATTATAGGTTACAACTCAGAGGTATTAAAAACTGAGAAAAATGTTTTAAAAATGTCTTCCCTTTCCTATTTTTTATCCTTGTGTAGGGCCACTTGGTTCCACAAAATCACATTACACAAGAAAATATTTTCAGCTCAAAGTAAATAACAGGAGTAACGAAGTTGAATATGGTTCTAAAAACTTGTTAATGTAGATCCTGTAGTACTATCATAGTTATGTTTGTCATAAATTCATTTCATTCTTTTATACTTATTGTTATTTGAGAAAAAAAACATGAATTAGAAGAAAAAAATTCAGTTAACCAGAAAACTAAAATTTTTTCAAAGGTAATTAAAAGTTTTAATGTTCTTTCCTTTCACTTCTGTAGATGTACAATTTGCTTATTTTCATGGTAGTACTTAAATATAAATTGGCTGAACACTTTATTAGGTAGTATACCTAATAATGGGTTGAGCTATCTTCTGCCTGAATAGTAGCTATGATATGGTGTCGCATAGAATCCACAAAAGTGCAGAAAGGTGTCCAGAAAGGTTTTCCCTACCATTCAGTCATTAATACTGTATGAAATTCATGGAGCTAGATAGACAGAGGATTGTGATGGAAATGTATCTTTCAAGTTCATCCCACAAATGCTCTATAGGAATGAGACCCATCAGAGATGCCTGAAGTCTCCGTCATGTTCTTCAAACCATGTAGGAACACCGTGGGCAAGGTGGATGGAAGTATTGTTGTCTTGAAAATAACATTCCCATCAGGTTACACATTAAGGATTACTGGATTTACTTCATCAGAAATTATTCTGAGGAAAGTTGTGGCATGCATTCTGCTTTCTAAATGGACCAAAGTACCCATGGTATGTCAGGAAAATATTCTCCAAATCATGACTCTATCACCAGAGACCTGGCGATTTGTTATCACACAAAAAGAGGCAAATTATCTTGTGGCTTTTCCAAATTTGTCTTCTTCCACCTGTGTAAAAAAAACAAAAAGAGTAAAATGTGTTACTGGTCCAATGTCTATGCTCTTTACACCACTTGAAGGTATTTTTTCTAGTTTGTAATCAGGTTCAGTGGTTTAGGCAATGGTCTTCTACTGCCACAGTCTATTTATTGCAACATTATATGCAATGTATTGTTGAAGATGGGTATGGATTTCCTTGCACTTAATGTCTGCCAGTTGATGTATTGTTTGATGATGGTTAGACTTTACCATCCTGTCTAACAGTCTTTCTCTTTTTCTGTCATTACATGCTTGTGGCCACAATTCCTCCTTGCAGAAGACATTCAACTCTTCCCATTGCAGATAAACTCAATTGACTGATGTCTTGGGCACAGTGCTAACTGCTACATGTTTATGCACTATCATGCCTCTTTTGGTCACTGCAATATCTTTACCTTTCTCCATATTTGTTATACTTCCTACAAATGTACTTGTCCCAGTCATTTATAGTGCTGCATGGATCATATGACACATCATGTGATCAACCTAATTTACATCTGCAGCTCAGATTAAGCCCAAGTCTGAAAAAGTACATAGTTCCTAATAAAGTGGCCAACCAGTGTAAATTTTCCATTTTAATGTGATGTTGAATATTAACACCAGTCTCCAATGCAAATGCTTAAATGTCCTACAACATTGTCATATTAATTTAAAAGAAATAATACCATCAATTTTTTTAAAATCATATTCTTTCTAACACAGAATATACTGTACATACAAAATAAACTATTTGACTGAACAAGACAACCAATAAAATATCACATACATATTAGTATTGATGTAACATCTTTTTTTTCATATTTAATGGTGAGAATGGTAAGACTAAGTGACACAAATATAAATTTTGGTAGGGAAGAAGTCATCTTCCGCTAAGATAAGTTTATTTTTCTAAGAGCGTGATTGGCCTGTGGAGCAGGTTGCCTTCAGATGTGGCAGATGCAATTAATTATAAATATTTTCATCTGTAAACCCATTAATATCTCATAATATTTGGAGAGGCTTAGGAGATAAATATTATTTCTAAATCACATACTAACCTAACAATGCAAAATAATCCTGATGATAAAAATACATTATATTAAACAATATAACCAATACTGTTAAAGAAACTAAGATTAAAGAAAGAATACAATTTACTTACAAAACATATAAAAACAAGTGTTTATTAATTATAGGTAATTTTTTAACCAACAGCCCTCATAAGATAACATGTTTACAAAAAAAAATGTCCATAAAAATGTGTGTAAGTGAAATTTTTATGATACACACAAGATCATTTTATTAAGCCTGTGATTCTGATACAAGAGTTATTAAAAATAAGGATTACTGACTAAATGCTATTAATGATTGTATGTAAAGACCCTGTAATAATTTAATTTTGAATTTTAATAAAGATATAAACTAGGAACCTCAAAAACAGTGAAAACATGCTCCTACAAATAAATGCATTTTGCAACTATCTGTTTAAATCATAAGACCAGAAGTTAAACATAGAATACTCATCAAAATTTCATACCCTAAATATTTTAACCTCATTTCACAACCTCCATTTATCTATACTCAATTTTAATAAAAAACATATGGTTATTTCCATTACTTTATCTTTTCAGATCTCTCTCTAACCATTTCCAAGTCAAATGAATTACTAGAGAAACAAGGAAATGATTGTTTAATTTAGGTCATGAAATTCTATACATGAGGAGGAAAAACAAATATTTTTAATAGCAGTTTTTGAACTGTGATGTTTACTCAAACTGCTTCATGATAAACCTTTCCTCTTTCTCCACTTTGTTCAAGTTGACAAAACTTATAGAGTATCATGTTAAGCCTACTGAGTATGAATAATATGAATGAATAATGCATAAACAACTAACTTATAGGAAGACTTATTCACAGTGCATGATCACCATATAAACTCTTCAGCAAGTTTCTTTAGTATACATTTTAGATTAAAAAGTAATTTCAACTGATTTTATTGCTAAAGCATAGGTGGAAAATAGGCTTCAAGAAAAGACTTAAAACCATAAGTCTTCTTCATCCCTCTCCAAAGAATTAACATACATACTTTGTTTAAACCTGCAAAAATGATAATCACTCATGAGATTTTATTAAACAGAGGTCAAAGAAGCCACCTGATATAGTTGATGGGGGTGTAAAAGAAGTTTAAACCAAGCATACTTTCATTCTTCAAGGCTCATTTAATCATACCGGTTTTAAGATTCGCAACTAGAAGTCACACAACATAATACTACTCATGTCAGACTCATTAATATTACACAAATTATATTCCAAGTTAGTAATGAGCAGCATTATTACATGTACAATAGCCATCTTAGAAACA